GCTCAGTACTGCCTGGGTGTGAAATGTTCCTTACATGCTTAGCAAAGTACTGCTGTTCCCCCTCCCATTTATCTCCCAGAGCATCAGTGACACAACTACAAGCACGGCTTTTGGCACACCTCCACATGGAGACTGATGCCTGGGCATGCAGCACTGGAAGGGAGCAGCCAGAGCGACAGCAGCACACAGCTGCCAGTGGACAGAAGACCACAGTCCTACCCCCGGTACTGGAGCAGACCATCCCAGAGGCTCTGTATGTCCTGCTCTGCAGAGAGCTGCAGTCCTACACATGAGCACAATGCCTAGCAAGAAAAGGAAGAGATGATCAGAGCAAACTGGGAATGGAGCAGGGTGGGCAGAGAACCTTAGGAGGCTCCAAATTTCCTGTTCATTTAGGACCAGATTCTTCTTCCTTCTCTTTGTGCTTCTGCACTCACATGACAGTCAGTGGTGTTGTGATACAGCCCTGGTGTTCTCCTTCTGAAGCGGTTCCCTCGTGTGGCCACAGGCTCAACACTCCAAGCCTCCCCTCCACTGCATCTCCTGGCTTGCCTGCCACTTTAGCCCATTACAGACTGGGTGTGATTAACACACACTTCCAGTTACTGCATCAGATTCACAGTGTTTGTGAAGAGGTCTCCAAAAGTGATTGATATCATGTCATCGCCTCCCTCCAAGTTCATGAGCATGGGAAGAGGAGTGCCTTCTGCTTACTAACCCAGATCATTAGGAACAGTGTGGGAGCATACGTCTGGGAGACAGAATTCCAAGTGAATTAACTTGTTGAACAAGCATGGGAAATCCTGCTCTTACTATTTACCCAAACAAATGCACAGACAGAGCAGTTTCTATCTGCTAATGAATACAGGGTAAGTTTCACATCTCCCTGATCCAGGGCAGGAGCACACTGAGGCTGCAATGTTCAGGCAGCGTAAAAGAGCAACTTGTTAATGAACGGATGATAGTACTTTGCCTCCTTTGCTGTTTAAAAAGTAAGAATCAGGGGAAGTTATTCTAAGACAATACACGAACTGCTGAATTGGTTCTGAGCTCCACAGACTAAACGGGATAAAGAAAATTAGAAATATGAAAGGCAGTTTTTAATTCTTTGCAGCACTTGTTAGTGTGAGGCAGTGGTATTTCTTATTGCAGTGAACTGTATGTACATAGAGGTCATCAGTTCCTACGAGTTCCTTCAGCCTTTTCCAGCTGTTCACATTGGTCTCCAGGAAATGCCTGCACTCTAGGGTTTCACATACTGCAGATCTGCACAGGAACGACTGCATCTCAGTGACATCCAAGTGTGGAACCCACATGTGCCCTCAGCAGCTGCCACAGACAGATAAAAGAGACAAACGAGCTGCAACTGCTGTTCTTATGTAGGGCCCTCTAAAAGCACAACATGTTTTTACGTACAGCTGACTGCACCAAGCAATAATCCTCATTCTCCCATGCCCAAACAGCCACAGTGCACATGCAAACCACCCTTGGACACATGCCAAATGCAGGGTTTCCTGGAGCCCATAGGGAAGAGTTCATATGCTTGTCTAGACAATAGGCATGGGAGTAGCAATGGGACTGCTGCGCAGCAAGACAGCGAGTCTGCTACACCCCATCCCCTGCCCTGTGCCCCCCAGCCCTCATGTACCCCCTCTGAGTGTCTGCAGCGGGACACAGTCACCCAGTGCATCACTGTGCTGAGAACCAGCCCTCACAGTGTCCAGAGGAGTTTGGAGGAAACACAGAACAGTAACAGGCACCAACACAAGGCAAAGACTTTTTTGCCCCTGGAATTTCCTGCTAACATTGCTCAGGGATCTTCTACACAGATCACCAGTTTCCTTGTAGTTTGCTCCTGCAGGCACAGGTCTGGCACTCAGCCACCATCACCAGCAGCACAAAGCAAGGCCAGACCCCAGCAGGCCCCACTCCACGGCCGTGGCCGTGACCGTGTCACTCACACCCCGCAGCCTGTCCTGCCTGCAGTGGCATCCCTGGAGGTCACATTGCACCCCTCATCCTTCCCTCCTGTGGAGCCAAACTGGAAAACTGAACTCTTGGTATTGTTGTTGCCCAAAACGAATCTTACAAAGAGTGAAAACTTAATTAATTATAATACTTAGCACTGCTATGCTGCCTTTACGTTTACAAAGCACTGGGTAAACATTAACTAATTAATCTACGGTACCTAGCAATTATATAGTTCTTTATATTTTCCAGATCCTGTGCAAATGTTAGCTAATTAATCCACTTAATTATTTCCATGTTTTATGTTCCAGAGCACTGTAACTGGCAGCACAAGGAAGAGCCTTAGCAGGGATAGTCCCAAGCACTCTCAGCTTTTATGTGCCTGACACCTTTTGGGAAGATGTCTCCAGAAGGTGCCCAGTAAAGTAGATGAGCCATCCTAAAAGCCAAACTACAGAAATAAGAACTTTCCATCAGAAAGGTCCTAAAAGAACACAGGGTTTTGGAAGTGCTCCCTGGGGGGGGATTACTGAAACACAGAGATTTATTTGTGTGGCAATAATTGAGAAGCTCATTTTATTCCAGTAAATTCTTTCAACCACAATCAATTCATATGCCATCCCAAATAGCGGAGGTCAGCAGAGCACAGCGAGCACCTCGGCAGGCGCTGTTGACAATGTTAAAATGCAATAAACAGAGAGTTGTGGCTCAGCATGAGGGGTGCACATTAATCTTTGTTTGTAGAGTGCTTGATTGGCAGACTCAGTTCTTTTAGGGCCTTTCCGATGAAAAGATATTTCCGGCATGCATGGCCTTCCCAGTGGCAGCATTCCCACCACCCTACGCCACTTCACCCCCGGATTCTTCTCACACTGGGTGAAGATGCTGTACAAACCTGCAAGGAGGAGGAGAGGAGCAAGCAACAGGATGGCTCCAAGCAGCAACACTGCTCAATCCCACTCTAAAATGCCAGCATAGAGGAGCCACATGTTTGCACACCAAGGAGGTCTAGCAGAAGAGAGAGCAGGTGTGTTGGAGGAGAGAGTCATTATCCAAAGGAGGACAAGACCAAAGGGGGAAGATGGATACCTGATGCCTTTCTGTGACTGCTCAGTTGGGAGCAGGGAGATTTTCAAGATCAGTCATGGCCCCTTGGTAAGATCAATCAGACAGGGAGGCAGGCAAAGGGCTCTTTTCCAAGGTCTCCTGAGCCTTCAATTGCAGCCAGATACAATCAGCACGAGATTTGAAGAGTTCCACGTGTCCTCTGCCGCGGCTGCAGCACCAGCACTAGCAGCAGCTGGGACATGCCACAACAGATGAGTACGTGGTCCCAGGGACAAAAGGCCAGACAGCTGGGCTACAGCACCTGTCAAGGACCGATGCTCACAGTGACCCGATTTCAGCATCACTCTGCAGCTGAATCTGCCACACCACCCCCAGCCTGGACCAGCACCCTACGAACCTGCACGGTCCTGCAGCCCCACTGCCGGCTCAGGCAGCAAGGTCAAACCCATGCTCAGCAGCTGCTCCCTGCCCTCTACTCTTGGGGCTTCCCCTCTGGCCATGCTAGGTGGAAGGGACAGACAGGCTGAGCACCTGGATGAGAGATAAGCAGCCCATGGTGCTGTGCCTGCTGCTCTTGGGGGAGTCAGAGGTGAACCATAACTTCATCAGCCTACAAGGAAAAGAACCAATTATCTGGCAATTGTATGCGGTCCATTTCAGTGGGAGGCTCATAACCTAACCAGCCCTTGTAGTCATGGGGAATAAAATATATGCTGACACCAGTACACAGAGGTTCCCATTGGAAGCAACTTTCACTGCAGTGTCATGAATCTTTTCAGAAGCAGCTTGAGAAGATTCATTCTGTGTATCAATCTTCCTGGGGAGCAGAGCTGACAATGGTCGTACATAACGTTTACACCAACTCACATGCACAATCTGTGGCTGTCTGCAAGTCCTGCCCCTGACCAGTGCATTAAATACAAACATATGACAAATAAATGTGAAAGAGCTTCTCCAGGGGTAGTGAAATCCTCTGCTTTGGCCACTGTTGGCTCCTCAGGCTTCTGCTATAGTGGCACACTCTCCCCTTGGCTCCAAGGGGGAGAAGGGAAAGCTGTAACTCTTCTGTTTGTTCAGGTGACCCATTTTTTATGAGCTGAATACTTTACTTTAGGTTTTTATGATGATTCTGTGACTTTATGTCTGTCTTGTAATCACAGCACTAGTCTGGAGCAGAAGCAAAGCCCATAGCAGCTGCTGCCTTAGTCAGCTGGAGGGGAAGCAGCTGCCCCACCACAGTCCCCCCAGAACAACCCTGGCTGGCCACTGCTGGGGTACCACAGCTGCCTGGGTGCCTGGCTCTCCACCACAAAAGCTCCCCTCTGGCAGCTGGCCAGCCTGGGCAGGTGGACTCACACTCTGCCACTCTGATGCCATGAGGACCCAGAAACTCTAAGCTGAGCAGAAGCTCACTGAGCAGGTGAGTCGGAGCTCCCTGGCTCAGGACCTTCCATGCAGTCAGGATTCCTTGAGCAGTATTTCTAATGCCATATCAGTTGCCACTCATGTTCCTTGAGGGTGGGGGTGGCACATAAGCAAGGATGGAATAACCTTAAATTCCACATCTTCTGCAGAAAGCATATGATGCATCCTTACCAGAAATCCAGGTGCACATCATGTGCTCCAGTGCTGCTGGGAGCACTCACTCCACGTGCAGGAAAATCCGTCCAGAAGCAGCATACTGCTGCTGTAGATTTTCCCATGTATTCAGCTCTTGTGTGTCTTTTTCTGTCTTCAAGATTCTCATGGTATTTTTTAATTGATAGCAAACCACCTTAAAACTTCCCCTTTCATCATCAGAGAAAACCTCACCATTCATCCCCTGTTCACCCCCTGTGCACAGACACCACTGGTTACCGTGGCTGTGGGAGTCCCCCATTTAATCAATGAAGCAAGCAAATACCTAGTTTGTGCTGCCAGAAGGATGTGGCATTTGAATGAGATTCCCCCTCCCTTACCTTGGTGTGTGCTTCACTGTTGGTTCACAGATACACCTTGCACTCAGGGCCCTGGGGCTGTGATGCAGGATGCTCCAGAGGAAGGCAGCTCCTGAGCATGTTGTGAGCTCGACTTGGGGGACACTGCCATCACTCGTCAGCCGGTTTGTACGAGTGAAGGGTCATCCTAGATTAGAGTCTTGTGAATAAATTCCTGTGAAGAAAGAGGATAGAAAGGAAAACATCTTACAAAGCACATAGATTTTGGCTGCCTCCATCTTCCACACCTCCACACGGCTGAAGTGCAGCTCCTGATCACCAGCTCTGCCCAGATCATGTGGGCAGCAGCTCTGAGCTGGGAGCCTCTGTGCCATCCTCTGTAACACCACATTGAAGACAAGAGAGTCCAGAAGGGGTGTCCAGGCTAGACTGAGTCCAAATCCAGAGTTAAGAGCCTTCTTTCTATATGTTGTTATCTACAGCAGCTGAATCATGGATGGTGCTTCATTAAGCTTGAGATTTATCAGCCATTGTTAGTGCTTCACACAGTAACAAAATAATATTTTAAAGAAAACAGTCATCAGAAGGAAGCAAGCCCAATGGCTGCCGGCCCTGCCGGCCCCCACCGAAGCCTGGCAGCCTGCCTGCTGCCAGCTCTGACAGGCAGGCAGAGAGGGGAAAACCCCGCATGGCTCTTTTTATTATGAAAGCCCTATATGAAGCTGCAAATGTATCTGTCACCTTCTAGCACATTGTTTACCAGCTCTCCTCAACATTCCCCAAACAATATTTTCTAGAGACTGTAATTCAATACTACGCACCCCAGAGCTGCAGCATCAGCCCAGAGAGCAGCATGATGAATGTATCGTGTTCCTTCAGGGCTTGGGCTTGGGAACTAGTTTGTGCTGTTCCAGCTGTTAATTATCCCTCTGCTTTTTGCCAGTCTCCTCCCAGCTGTGCCTTTGTATTTATCATATGGGTCTACATACACTAAAAACATTCTGACTCTTGAAAGTATAAGGAGCAATTTATCCCTTTTGTGCAACACGAGGCGGCTCAGGGGACCAAATAGCAAGACCTGATCAATAAGGCCCTCACTAGATTAGAGGTACTGGGGCTCAGACCTCATAGTGCTTGTTTAGAAGAAATGCAAGAGAATGCACTGTGAATGTTAAGCACAGACACAAATATATTTTCCACTGCTCTCCCTTCCCCAGCTTGCATCCCAGAGACATCCTCACATTAATCACTGCTGAGGAGACCATCCAGAGCCAAGCCAGCCCAGGCCAGGCTGCTGACTGGGAAGAGGTGTTCCTGCTCTCCCAGCCGTGGCAGCACTGGCTCCACAGGTAGGCGGTGCACAGGATGATGCCCAGGCAGCAACCGCACTTTGCTGGGGAGCACCAGACCAGTCTTCACCTGCTCAGCCCCAGCACCCACTCAACACACAACAGTGCCCACAGCACCTCCAGCCCCAGCCCCGGTCCCTCCCCGGATCACCCAGGCTCCCGCCGAGAGCTGGGCTGGCAGCCTCCCATCTGCTGCTCTCTCAGCTGCTTGTTACTCTGGTCTCACCCAGGGAGCTGTGGCCCTTTCCCAGGACACTCCTGCTCACTCTGCAGTCCCACCACAGCTCACTCATACTCCCAAACCTTTTGTTAGTGTGTAGTATAAATGCCGAAGGCTGCACACATGCACTTTCATAGCATGCAGTCCAGAGGACCAACCAGCAATACTAACAGGTAACTTACAGGTGCAAACACCAGTCCGTCATATATTTCTGGTGAGTGTGCCTTAGTCCTTTGTCCACTCTGTAATGCACCCTCCCTTTCTCACAGCTCCAGTACTGCTGCAGGGCTTTCTCACACCTGCGCTGAAGTCTTGTTCTTTGCTTATGACAGCTTGGATCTCTTGTGAAACCTGCAGCCTACCAAAATAGCCATGATGTACCTGATTCAGGATCCCTGCCAGGACTGCTGTCCTGCCTTCCACCAGTGGCCAGCATTTAGAAACATCACCCCTTGCAGCACACCAAGAAAGCAAAGCAAATACTATTATTCCCCACTTGGGTTCTAAGGACCTCATACAGGTAATTAAGAGATGTAATTAAGACCCATGCTGCCACTTCTTGAGCTGGGAATTGCTGATATTTAATGAAATTTTCCAAATATTTTTAATAGAAATTTCAGGTCTTATTCCTAATATGACATTTATCTTCTATTAGCATGAAAACAAATAGAAAAGCCTGAGAATCATTGCCTATATTAAAAATTACTTCACTGTTGGTTTTATTACCTTCCCCATTAAGCTGTCACCTCTTCCCATTTTTGTAATGATCAGCCAGTGAAATCTGTCATCTTTTCCACGTGATTTATACAGGACCCCAGTGATAACTCTATTCACCAGGATGATAATTATCAGCTATATTATTAAGGCTGCTCGGTTGCCCTAGGGGATAATGTGCCAGGAAGGTTAAAATATTGACAAGCAATAAAGTATGTATTAGAATTACACCAGTGCCAGGATAGATAACTGGCTGTGAGCAAGGAACTGAGCTACAGCTTTGCATTTGTCCAGCAAAGACAGCAATGCCATGTACACTTCCTTCCAGGACTGCAGCAGTCTAGGCCCATCATCTGGAGGGGACCCCAACAAAGGCTGCGCCCCATCCCGTCCATACAGACCCCAACAAAGGGCATGTCCCATCCTGTTCATGTTTATTCACCACTTAAACCCTGACGACCTTGCCCTCAGCGAGCTTCTTTATGATTCGTAATTGAACAGGATGTCGTAGCTGAAGTAGGGGAGGTTTTTCCACAATTCTTCTGTATTTCTTCCCATGCCCCCTAAAAAGTTTGTCTTCATAAGAATGGCAAAAGGAGGGAGAGCAAAGAACTGACATCTCTGAAACGAAACATTGATTTCTTCTGGGACTGGAGCAGCAGGTGCATGCCTTATTGGTAAAATGGTATATAGGTATAATCTGAAGGACATTGCTGAGATAAATTGCCCCTTGGTTCAGGCACTAACAAAACGAAGCACTGAATAACTTGGCACTACATCTGAAGCAAGACTATAAAACTAACCTTGGTCATTCCTCCAGATCTACTATTGTTACATCAAGAAGAGTAGACGAGGGATTGAGGAGCTTATAAATAATTTCTCATGGAAAGCACGTACAACAGCCAGAACAAAAATCTCTCTCTAAGAAAATGTGGAAAAGTGGTAGATTTAACCTACTTCAAAATGTCATTTTTTGAAGAAAAAAAAAAAACCAATCCACATCTCTTTCTTGATTTTTAAAGGATGTATCTGTACTGCAGCAGCATGGTAAGCACCAAGCCCTAAACCTCGCTTTGGCAGCTGAAGGAATTTGCTGCAGCAAACCCTGCCACTTCCCTCCAGTACAATCATGTTGGAAATAGATGGTCACCTATGGCTAACCATGACTGAAAAAGAGCTGTAAGACATTTAATAAACTACATTGATTAACTTCCCTCTGCTAAAGAAGTGCCAAGGACTATAGAAACTATTTATCTCAGGTTTATCCACAGTTTGCTGTTTTTGTCCAGGGAAACATAACTAATGTAGAGGATTGACGTCCTGCAGACAAGGGTCAGAGCTCTAGCCCAGCTAGCCTGAGACACTTGGAAGCATATCCCTGGAATATGGGCTTGTGCCATCCTTTCACTGGCTCTTTGAATGAGTCACGGACACTGGAGAATGCATCCAAATGCTACTAGAATTAATTCTACAAAATATCCTTTCTCTGTTCGCCACAAGTACACAAGTGAGAGTATATGGCTTTCTTTTACTCAGAACCTTTCAGCCCAGTGCTGTAGATGCAGCCTTGTGCTCATGAGCAACAGTTTTCCAATGCAAGATGTGCAAGACACGCCCCGGGGGCAATAAGCAGATTCAAGAGTCCTATAATTACAAATCATGCAAGAATTAGCTGTAGTGAGTCCATGAGGCACTCCAGCTCCTCTCTGCATGCTCTCTGGTGTCCCACAGGAGATACTTAATGCAGTTCCAGATGAGAAGCTCCTTGGGTACCCACAACCACATCTGTCTTCAGGCTTCACATTTACTCTAGAGTTGGACAACCTATTTCTGCAGCACATTGCTCTGGTCTTCAGATGACTAGAACTCTGCAAGGACCATAGGGAGCTTGCCTTCCTGACTGCTCCCCACGATTTTCCTCCTCTGTCCAAGGAGTCCTACATGTGTCACCCCCAATGCCAGCTCCAGCACAAGCACACCAAAGCCCTCAGAGCATGCCATCTGTTCCCCATGCAAGTGGGTTCCCACGAAGAGGCATCACTGCAGTCAGTGCTCCCCTCACACAGTAAGGTAGGCTGACTGCCCAGAAAGGCTCCTTTTCTCTGGAAACTTGTTGATAACTTCCCCAGTGACCCCCACACCACATGCTGCAGGAGGTGTAAGAACATGGCTAGATGTCCAAGAGTTTCCTCAGATGAGAGCTTTGTGGGACTGATTCGGAATGTCTGGCTCAGCCTGGCCACATCTCGTGCTGTCCAACACCCTGTGACAGAATGAGCAAGACTCGAGCAGCACAAGGTGGAACAAAAGCTCATTTTGTCCACAGGTACCTTGGGAGCTAAGCAGTGTAACACAAACACATGGGGAACAGGTGACATAAACGGAGGTGAATTAAAACCCACGTCTCAGGAGGGCAATGGCTGTGCATGCAGCATCTGCTCAGCATGCAGCTTCAAAGCAGCACGAATTTTAAGTGCTACCATTTACAAGAGGTTCATCTTCACCTTTTGTTTGACTGTAAATCCCTGAAGCTCATCTTGTTAAGGAAAGGTGTGAGACGGCAGGAGTACAGTACCTCTTCCTCACCTCCCCACGTGTGTTCCCCTCTGATGCATTACAGATCATCTCCAGGAGAAATACATCTGCATTACAAAGTATGAATATGCTTTTCAAGACCAGATGTATGTCCACTACATGCCTTACAGCAGGAGACAGAGTCCTTCATTTCCATTCACCTGCTCCCACCATCAGCTGAGCCTGCTCAGGCCAGCAAGCCCAGGAGGTGTTTCCTAGGTGTGCTATGGGGAACAAGAGTACTGGGTGTGCTGTTTTGGTAGGAGCTTTCCTGTGCTTGTCTTTGCCTCATTATTAAAGTGTCCAGTTAAAACCACGAGAGAGGCTGGTGTCAGCCTGGCGAAGGCACAGGAAGAT